AACGAAGCTTACAGTGGAATATTTTTGAGCATACTCGACATTTATGTTCCAACATTAGATGGAACTTGTTTACATAAACTGGTCCGAGACCCTAGAACCCGATTTTAAGGCAGTCGATTCTGTGTCGACATGGTGCCAAAGACATCCAAACCAAGTCAAGAAAAGTCTGATGCTTCGTCCATTGTTGGGTAGCGAAACATTTGTAGAAAAACTTTTAAACATTGTTAGGTGCTGGTACGATAAACTGGGATTATGGCCCAAGTAGGACAGTAGAATTTGATGAGTAACAGTTAAATTTTGACGCTTGCTTATATGACTAGTAGCCCCACTCGTGAAATCATCGGGCTAACCACATTAGTTATCAAGTATTACACAAAAATTCTACTGCGGATCTTGCTCAAAAGCACGGGAACAGGGAAGCGAAACAATGATATGACACATCAGTGATGATCATGTGAGGACAACCATGACAATCTGTCGTCACGTCACAAAAATGTGACGGTTTTACATGTGACCGTCACATTCCATCTAATTAGTGGCATCCCAGGAGATGCTAGTTCGAAATTCGGAAATTTTCGCGTGATGATCACCATCGTTCCATAATCAAAAAGTAACAATATGAGTGTTAGTCGTATTTCGATTTAAGAGGAGATTACTATACGTTTTAAAAGTCGTGGGTTATTGGAGTGAGACTTCATACGTTGAAGATCGATTATATAGATCTGAAAACGAATAATTGGGACAAAAAATTTTTTTTTAATGTTCCTTTGCCCGAAAACGCTTAAAATGCCAAAAACAGTCCAGGGCCTCCAATTTTTGAGCTACGAAGGATTTTTTTTCAAAATTTTCAGAAAAATATGTGGAATAACAATTACGAGCTAGTTTTCTTTTAATTCGCATCTTACATGGCTAAATTTCCTTTTTTTGTATTTTTTTACACAAATAGTGAATTTTTTTATATGAGAAAAACCGAAATCAGCTGTGTAGGGGTCGAATTCCAAAAAACTGGCTCGTAATTGTTGTTCCACACATTTTTTCGAAAATAAAAAAAAAATCTTTTGTAGCTCAAAAATTGGAGGCCCTGGACTGTTTTTAGCATTTTAAGCGTTTTCGGGCAAACGAACAATAAAAAAAATTTTTTTTGCACTAATTATTCGTTTTCAGATCTATATAATCGATCTTTAACGTATGAAAAGTTTCACTCCAATAACCCACGACTTTGAAAACTTATAGTAGTCTCCCCTTAATCAAGAAAAAATCAACGGTACGTGTATTGACTGAGGGTCATTTCTCTCACTGTGAATGGTCGAACAGTTGAGATCAATAAATAAATCTGATTTCAGACAACATTCATTTTCGATTAACTGGTTCGAGCCCCGGCAGGCTCGCGATTCTACACCATTTTTTCATCACATTTTTCCACACCATATCCATCTGAAAATCGCACACAATTTCCAATGCGAATATATCACAAAATTACAACTGAAAAATCCACTCCACATTCAACATTCCCTGGATAAAGGTCCCCGGGCGATGGCCGCGTTGGTAAATTAACATTTGCAAAGAAAATCCGGTGAATTTGAAAAATTTGTGACAGAAAAATATATGACAGTCAAATTACATCTAAATAGTTTATTGTAATCAGAGATCGGCACAAATATTATTTTCACCAATATTTGCACTGTAAACACGAATTTTTTGCTTAATCACTATCAATGTTTAAATATTTTTCATTATATTATGAATGAATATTGAAAAAATCTCATTTTTTTGAAATACCGTATCGTATCGCAATGAGTAATAATTAAAAATAAAAATTATTATTTATCCAATCAGGAATTACACTTGAATATTTTAGAGTAATCGTTCAATCAATAATGAACATTGAAATATTTCCGTTATTTGTGATGAAAGTCATAATAATAGTTTTAATTTTCCAAATTTCCAGAAATCGGTATTTTCTGTTTTACATTTCTGATTTACAATTTTGTACCCTTATTGGTTGAAAAATTAATTGCTTCATTTTTTAGTTTCATTTCACATTAATATCGCAATGAAAAATAAATTTGGTATTATTATCCATTACGAAATGAATTATAATGCAACTTTTTCATTGACCATTGATATTATAATGAAATATTAATAATGGAAAATATTTTTCTGTCATTCTCTGATTGTCATATGTCAGCCGATAAATTATGACACGAAAAAAAATGACGCCACATGACTATCAGATGATCAAAATATTTTTCTGACCTGACCGATTTTGAAACGTGACGTTATTTCGCATCCCTTCAGTCGCGCCAAATTTTGCTCAAGGGTTTATAATTCGAGCGGCTTGGTCCACTCTTGGAATATCAAAGGTCGACACGTTTGGCCTGGCTCATGATTTGTAATTTTCTCGTCTGAGGGGGTAGTATTCTGCGCTCTTTACAGTTCCCTTGGAAACAATGAATATTTCTGACGGAACTCTAAAGTAGCTCAACAGTTTCAATGGACCGCATACATTCAATGTCAATGATGTTGAACTTTAATCAGTTTTCATAAGAAATCATTTGTTCATTAATTACGCGCACTAATTAGCGGATAGCGGGCGAACCACTTGGGCCAATTTCAATAAATCAAAAACCGTTTTGTTTGTATGATGAAGACGAACAACTTTCGTCCGAAAGTTGGTCCTGTATCACTTATAGTTTTCGTGAAAAATAATTTGTTCACTAAGAACGCGCACTAATTAGCGGATAGCGGGCGAATATCTGGGCCGATTTTGATAAATGAAAAACCGTTTTGTTTGTATGAGAAAGACGAACAACTTTCATCTGAAACATTTTTTGGTATGTCTCATCGTGTGCATGAAAAATCCAATTTTCGTGAGAAATTGAGATAAAATTGTTTATAATAAATTATTGCCCACTGGAATCGCTAAAGCACCGAAAAATTAGGATTCCTCACCCCCGAAAATATAACTTTTGATCATAAAATCTTGCCGCACTTTCATGTCCAATTGTCCACTGGGGGTATTGCGTATAGACTAAAATTAGTATTTTTCCAAACTAGCGAACGGGTGCTTCGCGGCCGTCGCTAGATTATATTATATTAATTTATTTTATTGTTTTTTCCTATTTTTCTTTGCGGTTAGATTAAATTAAATTTATTGGATTCTAATCCCATTGTAGTATGCAAATTTTGGGAACAGTTTTTCTCATTTTCAAATGAAGAGATATTTATATTAAATAATAAGGAGAGTATTGATACTTTTTTTGGGATGATGATCTATATATTTTTCACAATTACATCACTGTTCAAAAATTTCTTTATGTACTACATTTTTCATATAACTATTTCCATCTTTTTCATTTTTCATTCTACCTCCTTCATTTTTTTTAGATGCCGAAAAAATATCAATATGTTCCCTTTCTATGATCTAATTTCAATGGAAGAAAGTGAAAAAATACAGAGATACCTGATCAGCAAGAAAATTAAAATTTCGATTTTTCAATGTCTCCGGAATGTTTTAAAATTGATATATTTTTTCAAATAATGGAAGAATACCCATCAATTCAATTTCTATCCTCACATTTTGATAGAATACATTAAAAAAATCAGAAACAAAAATGCAAATGTCTCATCGAATTTTACTCCACCAATTAGGTCGCTCGGGCAAAGCGAAAAGGTTCCCCCTATCAAATGTATTAAACGAAGATGCCTGAATGGATGTTATCCTCGTCTTACTCATCCAAGGAAACCTAGCGATCGTGGTGCCATTACTGCGTGAACTGGCCACCGATCGACTAGCAACTAAATACTTGGTAGCGACGACTTGCCACTGTATCCGTATGTAATATGTGCGCACAAGTTTCCTCTTTCCTATCGTTTGTTCGAATACAGCCATAGGCGTACATAGGAAGGAGTTACCTTGATTGAATGGTGGAGAAACGGTACCTCCGGCATATCTCAGAGTAGCTCTCTAGTTAATACACTTCTACCATAACCATAAGCCTCTGTTCATGAAACACACATGTTTGCATTCATGCGCCTGCATTCAATAAAAATATTTCTTTCATGTTTCATATAATTTTTTTCATTGTTTGACTTTTTCTACATTTCGTCATAATGAAAGAATAAATGAGCAGCGAAATGTTCGTTTCGAGATTGTTTCGAATATCGCCTCAAATTATATGAATAGGAATGAATGTTCATTAATAAACAGCAGTAAACAGATATCTAACAGACATCAGCAAAATCGAGGGGGTGGATTGGAACGATAAAAATTCAATAATTCAGTTGTTTTTGAGGAATATTTCCGAATCTGAGGGAGATAGCGAAATTTTTGTAATCACATTTGTTGCAGCACTCAATCGACTCTACAAAAAAGGTTTTACCAAAAATTTTGCTATCCCCCTTAGATTCCGAGATATTCACTGAAAACTGGTCAACAGTCGAAATCGACTTGTACCACTTCGTTTTACCACTTCGCTACTGAATTTCTTCAACTGAAAAATAGAAAATATTTTTTTAAATATCCACCGTGGCGAATAGTTGAACCTTTTCTGTTTCAAAAAACGTGTTTTGAATATCTTTATCTATAACAACAATGTAAACACACCCGGAAGTGCCGATGTGCCTCGGATAACAAATTCTTCCACCAAATCACATAAAAACATGTGAGGCCCAAGAAATGAAAGGGAGAGTACTGTTTATTGTTCATGATTTGATTAAAAAATCCGTCCTTCCACTTTACAATCGAAATACACGTAAATCGACGCATCACCGGAAATGCAGTGCTAAGTATATCGTTTTTCGATTCGAGTGACTAATACATTACAGAAGTTTGTGATGGCTGAAGCCAATAATGGTGTATGGGACAAATGGACCTCCATTTTACCACGACATTGTTTTTGGACTTTCTGGCCTAGTACAGGTACTTTAAATGCACAATTGGACATTCATGAGCGAATCCCTGCAAATCCCTGTCAATGAAATAATGTAAAAAAAATTACCTCTCTCGTATGTTCATTTTAAGTGTACTCCGTTTATAATCCGCAAATATCAGTGGCTGAATGGACTAGAAGGAATCACGCACTGTATCCAAACAATCACTCCGAATATGAATCAGTATGCACTGAATACATACAGTGGACTGGCTGAATGTAGATACACTTTCGGTTTGATGCACCGTGAGCCGATGGGCCAACTGTCAGTTGCTGGGAGTTATACACAGCGTGCATACAATCACACGTATTTTCCACTGACACTGAGGCACTGCATGTATCCGTATTAGAAAGAAGGAAAGAATAATGACAGCTTTTAATGATGAACACAGATGCAGCGCAAGCTAAGGCTGTTCCAGCGATGTTCCTGCGCAGCCGGCGCTGTACTATACCTACTGAGGCCTACAACCTCCCTTCTCGTGCTCTCCCCCCCCTCCCGCGGTCAGTCGCACTCTTAACGCCCACTAGGCATTACTAGACGCCGTGCCCAGGGACTTTAACCCCCCACTTGGACGGTATGCGCAGCCACACGGAGAACGCCAGTGAATTAGAATTTCATTTCAACCCTAAATTTGCCTTTTTTATTGTTATTTTACGTCTCTTCGACTCGGTTGAGTATATTGCGATGACGATCAAGGCTTTAAAATGGCTAGATCTTAGACCTTGCGCATGTGAGGCAACAACCTTACCCACTGCGCCAGGCCAGCGGGCAATCAACCCTAAAAATAAATTAATAAATAAAATAAAATAAAATTAATTAANAAATAATAAAAATAAAAAATAGACGATGCACTTCTTCCCTTCGGAAGCTTATAACCAATGTAATTGGTAGCAGAAAAATGAAGACTTTTGACATAACAGTGTGGTGTCACAAGTCTTCTGTCGAATAGGGTCGGTCGCCTGCTTGTTTAATTCTATTATTATTTATTTATTATTTTATTTATCTCATTTTCTAATTCAATACTCGATATTCAATTTTTGGAAAATTATTGAGCCCTCTCCTCTCGCCAAAATGTAGTAGGAGAGGGTAGGGTAATATGGACACTTTAGACTTTTTAAAAAATTTTCATAACTCAGAAACAAATGTATCAATAGAGCTCAGTTTAGGCTCATCACAAAGGGAAAGAATTGTTCTTTGTATTGAAAAAAAAAACATTAAATTTCATTAACATTTCAACCCGTCACTAATAATATTTTTTAAAAAGTCAAAAGTGTCCATTTTACTCCAACCTCCTCTACGTGCCAATTTTTGGTTTTCAGATCGGATGAATCCGGGAAAAGTTATGAGATAAATTTTTTTCTCTTATGTTTTTTGTTTTCTAAAGTAGCCGAAGAAGGGAGAAAAAATATTGGGGAAATGGGGCAAAATGAAACAGTCGAAAAACGATTGACGCAATTGAAGCAAAATTTTTTTTATCAACTATGTTTTTAAATTAACTTTTGTTTATTAACTTCTTTTATTATTGGGAGTACTGATGAGAATTATAATTCAGTAGCGAAGTGGGCAAACGGGTTAAGGATGTACTACACCCTTTCGGCCAAAATTCACGTTTTTTTCATTTTTCTGGCAAATTATTGATCAGATTGACGCGAAATAATATACCGTTCTTGCGTTTTATCATTATGGACTGACTCACGAAGTTTCATGGTAGTGCAATCATTTTCCTGTATTTTTTCCAAAGTTTTGTGAATTTCGGAAAAGTTTTAGAAAAAACGCAGGAAAATGATTGCACGATTATGAAATTTCGTGAGTCATTAAGTAATGATAAAACGCAAAAACGGTATATTTTTTCACGTCAATCCGATCAACAGTTTGCCAGAAAAATTAAAAAAACCTGAATTTTGGCGAAAATTTTGTGTAATAATCCATCCTTAAGTCAATTTAGTCTTTAGTTGAGTTATCCAGAAATATTTCCGAATTTAAGGGAGATTGAAGGGAAAGCGAAATTTTCATAAAAACCTTTTTTGCAGAGCGAATTAAGTGCTACTGAAAAAGTTATGAGAAAAATTTTGCTATCTCCCTTAGATTTCGAGATATTCATTGAAAACTGGCCGATAGCCAAAATTTGCTTAAACCGTTTGACCAATTCGCTACTGAATTTTTCATTCAGTTGAAATGAACATGCAGTGCGAAAAAATCCCTGATATTCGAAACCCCTATATTCTCCGATGGATCTCATTCCCTCTTATAACCGAATAGAAAATTATTATTCTCAGCGGTACTCCCAATAATATAAAAAGTTAATAAACAAAAAATGGCCAAAAAAATGCTCAAAAATTTTATTTGCTTCAATTGCGGCAAATAGTCATTTTTCGGCTTCTTCATTTTGCCCCACTCTCCCCTATAGAATTCAGAATTATATGGAAGGCTCGTTAAGGATAATCGGACGAGCTGGGAGGGTTGGAAAAAAGCAGCCATTTTTTAATTTTTTTTTTACGTATTCTTTAAATGATGGAAAAGGCGTGTGCAAAGTTTCAGACTGCTGGGGAGCATGGTTAATTTATTATGATTTTTTGAAAAAGTGCTCATTTAACCCGTAATCTTATGGAAATCACCAAAAAAACTGCAAAACCCAAGGAAAAAATGCAGCCAAAGTCATGAAACATTAGACACATTTAGAATATGTGATCAATGATTTTTTGAGTGAAAAAGATTGTCGCCTAGGAGCATTGTTTATTAATAATAGCCAAAAAGTACTGAAAAATGAAATTTCTGCGCACGCAGCCGAAATGAGCAGCAATGGTGGGGGTAGCGCGGTCAATTTAAACGTCTCTTGTTGAGAGAGAGCGATGAAGCGTTGTGGTTGGAGCTCCCTCGAGCCAGTGGTACCAGCTCCTGGTGAAAAAAAAACTACCGACGATGTTGCCACTTTTTCGCATGGATTAATATTTTTTCATTTATTAAAAAAAACAATCTGAAGATCATTCAATGCGTGGAACAGATACAAATAAATTTGATTAGTTCCAAAAATAATTTTTAACCGGAGATACTCTCTGATATGCCCTGAATTTTGAATCCGAATGGGAAATTTTTTTTTTGTTCAGCAATTGGTTTTCTGCAGGAAAACAATAGAAACCCCTCCGCCCCACCTCCTACATTTCCTCCTCGCCCGATTATCCTTAACCCCGGGAAATAAAATACTGAATATCATTAGCTGTTTGCTGCTGGGAAATGATATGCTGCTAGCGTGAACGGATGCATTCAACAATCAGCTGTCTGCAGTTACCGTGAGCTCTGACCAATCAGATTTTCCTGGATTTCTAATTAAAAAATTTGATTAATGTAGAAATTACTGTGTTATAATGGGAAATGTACGGAAAATACAAAAAATTAGCGGAAGGCTTGATGAGTTTTATGGCGGTTCTCGAGTTACAGAGAAAGTTATTCTGTGGACAATTTACTCTTAAAGTAGTATAAACATAATTTGAATGTTGAAGATTAAAATATGAAATAAATTCTAAGCGAAAGTTGAGGTGTTTCGCGCGAAAAAGGTAAATAATGACATTCTTCTGGAATTCATATAGAATGTTTATAATCAAAATTTAATTATCTATGAATTTTCCTAGAATTCTTTCAAACTTCCTTTTCACGTCATTAACGATTGAAGTCGCTTCTTATACATAGGTTCTTATGGATATTTTTCTGTTTAGCATGAAACTATATTATCAGCTTAGATGGTAACGCAGCTTCATGCTGAACAGAAAAATCTCCATAAGAGCCCATGTATAAGCAGCGATTTTAATCGTTAATAACTTGAAAAGGAAATCTGAAAAAATTCTACGAAAATTCATAGACAATTCAATTGTGATTATAATTATTCTGTATGAATTCCAGATAAATGTCATCATTTACCCTTTTTGCACGATACACCTTAATCCGAATAGACAAATTCTGATTGAGTTTCTGCCCAATCGGCTGTCTAGTATTATTGATAACAATTAATCTAGAAGTCCAAAAATAACACAGAGTCTTATGAGAACATGAACTTTTCGATATTAAGAAGATTAAAATCTAGAAAAAATTTTGAAAGATCAGAAGAAGAAAATCGAAATTTCATGCTCAGCATGAAAATTATCGTCAGTGTCAAACCTTTGCAATAAATAATTTGTTTTTGCATGCCCGAAATGGCCTGTTACGTCGACACGCCCTAGTCAAAAGAGAGACTATTATTTAAAGAAATAATTGAAGAAAGAATTTCTGTCGTGAATTGGTAAACTAGGATAAGTGCATTTATTTCGAAAATGCGTTTTTGGGCCAAATCGCTTCCCAACAATGGTCTGCTACTACCCACGAGGAGATTTAGCGAAAAAACAAAAATTGACCCCAGTATGAAGAAAAAGTGAGAAAGATAAGTGCAGTGCATTAACTTGTTGGAAGATATGTTGACTTATCTTCCGAAGTGGAACCGATGGGAAAAGGATAAGTTGACTTATCTTTCTGGTACATTGGTGACCCTCATGTCTGGTTTCCGCACCTAACCCTCGTAACTCTTCCTTTGACCCTTTCCCCTAATTCCAGCGAACCTTAATTTTTACTCTCATTCCGGTTTCTTTGTTCAGGCCCTTATCTAATTTTTCGATTTTACACCCAAGTGTTTAGATTTATAAAACCCCAGTGTTTGAATTTTAAGGGTCGTCTTTCAAGGGGTCACGTGACCAAATTCACTTTTACTATTTACAGCCAAAACAATTCCTTCATTTTAATAAAACCCAATTTCCGACCTGTAGTCATGACTCCCGTATGTCAGAAATTGGCTTTCATGAAAATCAGGGAATTATGTTGGCTGTAATTAGTAAAGGTGACTTGGGTCACGTGACCCTTGTGAAGACGGCCCTTAAATCTGGTTGAATGATAAATTTCAAACAGTGTCGGTTTTATTGGAAAAAAAAAATTATAGAAACAATGCAATTTTCTAGTTTTTAAAAATTATGGAATTGAACACAAACAAATATATCGAAACAAAATAGTTAAAAGGCAAGAGTACTGGATATTTAAACGCCGTAAGCCCACCATATTAAAAGGGTGTTTGCGGGGCAAAATGGGTATTTTGGGAACTTGTAGGATTGAGTGGGGGTAAAATAGGTATTTCGGAAACTTGTACGATTGAATGGGGGCAAAATGGGGTTTTCGGGAACTTGTACGATTCAATAGGGTCTTAATGGGTAGTTATTAACCTTATATGATTCAATGGGGGCAGAATGGGTATTTTCTGAACTCATACGAATCAATTGGA